AACAAGTTAATATTAAGTGACTTACATTGTCTGACTAGAACACTATTGTCTGATTTTGCCCTATTTCGTTGTCAAAAATTGTTTAAAACACAGACACAGTGGAGCCGTGTTTCGTTTATGAATGAACAGGGTTTTTTAAACGAATCAAGTGAGTCGGTGATTCATGATACCCATTCATAAAGTCAGTCACTTGATTCATTCCTGAATGAATCCGCCGTTCGAATGAGTCAATTGAATGAATGATTCAGTGATAAAAATCAGTGACTTGCCGCCACCTGCTGGCAGTTGTAGTTTCATTTTTATAGTATCTTTTCAGTTATTTAAATCATTTAATATTTCTATATTCAAAATGTTATATTTAAGACATTAATATCATCATTAATTTATGGATTTAATTGCACTCATTCCACTTCTGAGCCTCATTAAATGTCTAATAGTATACCAAGCCACTTTTGTGTTCTTCTGTGCCACCTTTGCAAATTAATTTTGTTAATACTGATTTCATTTGACTGGTAACTTATATTTCTTATTCTACTTGTTCTTATTCTGTCGTTTTAATTACAATTTTTAAAAAGCTTATAAAATATATATATTTTTAAGAATTTGACAAAAGATTATATACTTTTAATAAAGTTGGAGTCAAATATGACCTCATAATGGGAAGGCTACTTCTTGATAAAATTTAGGATTATTGATTAGAAGGTGCTCCTAAAATTTTGAACGTACTCCTAAAATTTTGAACGTGTTAAAGGGATCATATGATGCTTTTTTAAAGATCATTATTTTGTGTATTTGGTGTAACAGAATATGTTGACATGCTTTAATGTAAAAAAAAAACACTATTTTTCAAAAACTGTACATAATTGTAGGTCCTCTATGCCCCGCCTCTCTCAAACGCTTAGTTTTCTACAAAGTCCCTCCTTCCGACAAGCGCAGTCTGCTCTGATTGGCTAGCTGACCCATTGCATTGTAATTGGCCGAACACCGCAAGCACTCGTCGGAAATGTAACGCCCCTTACCATAATCGCGAGCTTCATCTTTCAAAATAAATGTAAAGACAGAGCCCGAAAGGGGAACAGAGTCGCGTGACAGACACAGTGATGAAGCTGGTGTGTTTGCAGTACACAAGCCACGGTTAAGACAGCTGACTCTACTGTGATGTGATGTGACCCTCTCCCTCTCTCTCTATCTCTCTCTCACACACACGCACGCGCACACACACACGATGCGCAAAACTCCGCATTTGAACAGTCAATAGCAAATACTTAAACTAATACCAAAACAGTAGCTGATTCAGAAGTGCCAGATTGTCATAGCAAAGTTAGAATTACCTCCTCTTCTAGGTTCACGAAACGGTCGTCCTTAAAATGCATTACTGTTCAGTTGTAAGTAATCTTAAAGATTCCTAAATGCATCTGGAAGGCCAAATAAAGTGCTTTTGCTTTCGCACTGAAACACACAGCGTCTCCCTGACATGGCTGCTTCAACACTAACTGCGGTTACTGAAACCACGCATTCTTTCTTGGCGTGCACATTTGGGTCCCATTATGCAAATATTTCCACATAGTGAGGTAGATATGTGGGGGCGTGTCAGAACGAGCCGTTTTAGGGGGGCGTGGCAGAGTCTTAACTTAGATAAAGAATATCTCTTTGGTTTTGAGACTTTAGTCTATGCAACTTCAGGGATCTTATCTATGCACAATCAGCTCGTAACACTCCAAAGAGAAAGGAAAACTTGAAATCGCACCATATGACCCCTTTAAGTTAGGAGTGCTCCTAAATAAGAAAAGTAAGCGCAGAGCCCTGATTTTCCCATATAGAATAAATTGTCTACAGGCTTTTTATGTCACCTTCTTCGTCCATTAACATGCTATATTTTTAATGATTTTCTATGGGAGGAACACGTTTAACGTGCAATTTAAGGCATTGCGTTCTGGGCTTGTCTGCTTGCCTGTACGGAGTTGGTCCTTTTAATATCACTTTCTTACTGCATTTCTTAATGCACGTTCATATCTGCTGGTCTGTATATAGTTTGTGTCAGCAATGAGACTTATACTGAATTTAGTCTTTATCATCTGTCATATACTGGCCATCCGCTTGCCTTGTAGTATACATTATATTAATAAACTGTATATCAAATTTGATTTTTAATAGCACTATCTGAATACATTAAGCCATATTAAGTATTTATGGTTTTCTACAGGAGGAAAACACTTAACGAGAGACTTTGCGCATTGTGTTCATATTCTGCTGTATTGTGGCCACAGATTAGGAGGTCTTGTCTTTTTCTCCTACAGGTGACTTGCAGGACCCTGTACGTTACAGTACCAAATTAGTTTTAATCGTTTAACATCCACAGTGTCTTGGCACGATTTGTGTAGATTGCAAGTGATGTCGCAGGTAGCAGAGAGTGCAGGCAGCTAAGTGACACTGTAATTTTGTTTCTTTTTTCTTGTCTTCACCACCTGGCTACTTTTGTAAAATGTTGAGAGATTCAATTAAATAAATAAAATGAAATAAATTTTTTTTAAAAAGATTACAAGCCACTTCACTTACGGAAGTGCAGGTGTCTGAGAAGTCAGAGATCTGCAGCTAGACCCTATTGGAAATTTCACTGGTGATTCACTCGGTTTTGCTGCACCACTCAGAGTAAATAGGCTGAAAACAGCCTTTAATACAGTGTGTGTACTTCATCGCAATGCAAATACCATCTCTGCATGATCTCGCACTTGATCACTGTTTGTAGAGGCTCATTAACAATAGCATTTAGTCAAGAAACATGGACTGCAGATGAGAAATCTTTAGCTTCTAACTATATCTATAATCTACCAAGCATATAACAGTCAAACACACACACTGTACTCACATTTCTCATTCCTCTGTTGGCGTGAGAGATCCTGTTCAGGGGTACAGGGCTCGTCTCTGGGTAAAGGCTCAAGAATGCAGATAGCATACGGTTGCAGGAGGTCCAGCCCAGGTTCTTCCCCCTCCCACAGGCAGCCACGCACCACCGATTCCAACACCTTCACCTTCCCTTTAGACATCAGCTCATTCTCCCATTCACGAGCCTTCATCCTCTGACGCACCTTCTGTTTCTCTGGATCTCCACCCTCCTGCAAGAGCAGCCTCTTAGCATCATGACGTGACTTAATGAGGCAACTGAAGAAGGGGGATGTTTAAAATACCTCGTCTTCCTCAAGTGCTCCTTCCCCTTCTGACAGATAACCGTGGGGCACAAAGAACCCATCATCATCGTCGTCATCATCTCCTCCTTCATCGTCATCATCCTGGAAGGAAAAGCCAGATTAAAGTCACCCCCAAATTCAAACATGCAGACAACAATGGCTAATTTGTCACTACAGAAATAGTGATGTCATATTGCTCACCCCCTCACTGTGTGACAGAGACTCTCCCGGCTCCTCTTCCTCCCACTCTTCATCACTGTCCACCTCATAATCCAGCAGGCCCTGATAAGACAAAAACTTCAGGTTGCTATGGAAGCCCATTTCCACCACATAAGAAAAATCATGCTTTGGTAAATAATAGTCAATTATAAATTTCAAAGCAGCTTCAGAGAAAACCACTATGTTAAGGTTTATAATCCTAATACCTTCAATGCCTTATAGTTGCATTTAGCAGATTAGAGTTGGGTAATATAATTTACATTTTGCAACTATATGCAATCAAGCAGATGAGATTGTCTAGTATAAATCTCCCAACATGAGTATACCACATGTACATGGATATACATCCTTAAATATATCCAACTTTATATAAAAAGTAGGGCAACAATTTAGTTACATTTTGTCACAACGAGATAAAATAAAAACTGACAAAAAGGCTTTGATAATTTTACCTTGCAATTACAACTTCGATTTTAAATTGTCAATTGTTAGTGAAAAAACCTCTACTAAGAATAACTTCTATAAATTATGAGAAACACATGTTTATCAGTAGCTGCAAATTATCCTTTGGTTTATTTCAGCAAAATTTTCTACCGTTTTCCATTCTGGCAAAGTTTAATGTATTTGACATTTTTAATTTTGAAGTTTTATTTTTTTTATTTGATAGAAATTAGTGATTTTTAAGTGGTCAAAACCATAGGTTACTCTTTATGAACATGTAAAATGATCTTAATCGGTCATCTCACTAGCCAATTAATAAACTTCAATCATAGAGTTGCTATAGAATCAGAGGGAGTTGGGGCATTGTTGGGTTTATTTCTGAATTGCTTGAAATCAGAGGAAGCAGTTAGTGAACTGGACTCTCAGGAAGAATAACTTCTATAAATTATGAGAAACACATGTTTATCAGTAGCTGCAAATTATCCTTTGGTTTATTTCAGCAAAATTTTCTACCGTTTTCCATTCTGGCAAAGTTTAATGTATTTGACATTTTTAATTTTGAAGTTTTATTTTTTTTATTTGATAGAAATTAGTGATTTTTAAGTGGTCAAAACCATAGGTTACTCTTTATGAACATGTAAAATGATCTTAATCGGTCATCTCACTAGCCAATTAATAAACTTCAATCATAGAGTTGCTATAGAATCAGAGGGAGTTGGGGCATTGTTGGGTTTATTTCTGAATTGCTTGAAATCAGAGGAAGCAGTTAGTGAACTGGACTCTCAGGCCCTCGACAGTGACCAATGAACTTCTTTGCAAGCTGAAAAACTGCCAACCCATTGTCCTGCTCGGATCTCATCCAAACTTTTCCTAAGTAAACAAAGTCACATACAGCCACAGATTGTATCAAGTATATCTTATAAGAAATAACATTTTCCTTGGTACTACTGAGAAATGACTTCACAACACAAGTGTATTTAGACAGTAATCACAATCACAATGTTGCCATGACAACAGTAAAGTTTAATGTGGGTCTGATGCTGCATTTCCAGTTCTTTCCACAGACTTGAAATATACTTGCGGTGGTAGCTGAGTGAAAATCCTATTACCCATGGCACAAAAATGGTCTACTACATGTGACAAACAACAAATAATGTGTGACTTTTAACAATATTTTTATTTATTGAAATTCATTTTGATACAGATTATGCTGTGTTTAGGGAGATATGAAGTACCTTTTAGCCATTTACCACAACATTTCTCAACTACACCATTAGTTTATATGAAAAATTAAATTTTTTTGGGAAAAAAATAAAACTTTAATGATGACCAAAATAAAATATTTAATTTGTTTCTGGATATTGATCTAGGTGTTAGGGGCAGAAATCTGCCATCTGCTGGCTACAGAAAAATCTGTAGGAAATACAGAGTTAGTAATTAGCATACACATGCAGCAGAGGCCCATAGAGATCCATGAATTTTTTTGGATGAGGTTAACTGCTCTTATAAATGCAATGTGGAACAAACAGCGTCTCTGCAGCGCATGTGGGATTGTCAGTGGGAATAAACAGGTCTTGCTAGGGGAGCTGCACAATATATAGAAATTGTCGAAATATCGCAAATGTAAACATCGCGATATGCATATTCGCAACTGCATGCAATATCTGAATCATTTTAATAAGTTTTGAATAATTTTAATAAATCTTCAATTTTACACTTAATTATTACATTTCTGTACCTGAATACTACGGTTTCCGGGTTTCTACAGGATTTTTAAGCTCAAATTTAAGACCTTTTTTAAGACCTGCGCAGATAAAATTAATACCATATGAGAGGGGTAGGGCAATGTCTATAGTACCATATTAAACTGTAAAATTACTGTAAAAAGCACAATTTACAGTTCAGAAACAAGATTTATAAAATGATAAACTTTACATTTCAGCCTTTAAAACCATTTTTAAGAAAATGGATGAGTCAAAAGTATTAATTACTATTAATTTAAACAAATTATTATATCAATTAAATAACAAATTAGGGGTGTGCGATATTGACAAAAAATTATATCTCAATTTACAGGGATTTTATCGATAACGATAATTAGACAATATTTTGCTGAATGCGTTATTGTGCCGATATCTTATGTCTAATTGTGCTGACAGCTGACTCCTGAATTTTTTTATACTCTTCACATTCTGTGTGGTCAGTCCACAGCAGTGATAGAAATGAATCATTTCCAACAAGTTTTATGGGCATTTTTACCTTTAAAGGTGGGGTAAGCGATTTCTGGTAGCCAATGTTGACATTTGAAATCACCAAAACAAACACGCCCCTACCCCAAAAGGGTCGAGCCCCAATTTTGATAGCTCCGCCCCACACATACATACACAACCCAGGCAACGATTAGTTCTGTGAAACAAAGCAAAACCAATGTTACACCATGTCTACACCGGACGTGAGTGGCGTGGCGCAACAAAATACTATAGAACTCATTGTAATCAGTGCCGTCTACACCATAGATATATATATACAGGTGCATCTCAATAAATTAGAATGTCATGGAAAAGTTCATTTATTTCAGTAATTCAAAACAAATTGTGAAACTCGTGTATTAAAAAAATACAATGCACACAGACTGAAGTAGTTTAAGTCTTTGGTTCTTTTAATTGTGATGATTTTGGTTCACATTTCACAAAAACCCACCAATTCACTAGCCAACAATTTACTAAAAATGTTTTTTTTATTGGTCTTATGAAGTATTCTAATTTGTTGAGATAGTGAGTTGGTGGGTTTTTGTGAAATGTGAGCCGAAATCATCCCAATTAAAATAACCAATGACTTAAACTACTTCAGTCTGTGTGCATAGAATTTATTTAATACACGAGTTTCACAATTTGAGTTGAATTACTGAAATAAATGGACTTTTCCACGACATTCTAATTTATTGAGATGCACCTGTACATATATATGGTCTACACTGGATGCGGCACGGCACGAGACGACAAATCCCCGACAGAAAACTGCTGCTGAGTTCTATTTATGACGTATTGGCGCACTAGTCTAACCTGCTAGACTTCATCACCTGATGTATGCGTGCACTCTGTAGGGGTTTTGTTTGCTTTTCGCGATATACTCGATAATATCAAATCACACATCGTTAAAAAAACAACTACGATATTATTGCAGACCATACATACCGCACACCCCTATTATGTTTAGATTTTTATAACGTATTGTCTTCTTATCGATCCACCAGTTCACATTGAAAGCTCTGTGTGTTTGCAGGGTAAAAACATGGGTCGATTTTTGCATTTGTCTGAACTCTGAACAAAACAGCCATTTTATTGAAAATGCTCATTCATTCTGAAAGCAGGTGGAGCGTTTGGTAGAAATATAACTGTTTCCCGGTATTGGCAGAACACAAAGCAGCACAGCACCGGACTTTGAACCTGCAGCGCTCATGTTTATTTAATGAAATCATAGCCTTTTGTTTAATCGTCACATTCAGCATATCGCAATTCTGGTCTTTCCGTCCCCAATTTTAAGACCTCTTGAAATCATAATTAAGACTTCCTTGTACAATTTAAGACCCACAGAAACCGTGCTGTTTATTTTATCTATCATTGTAATTTGTATATTTGTTCTTTTTTTTCTTCTGACTGTTCACTTGCATTTAATCATGTTTGAACTTTCTTAGGCTATAGTTTTTGCTGTGGTATATGAAGAAGTACTTAACCTGTTAACTGTCACTGGCCCACTTACCATTACATGTTTTAAACAGTAGTATATTAGTCTGAACCTAATGCAATCCTGACAAACTATATATCATTTGAAAGCTTAAAGTGGAAGTGAAGCAGTCAGTTAAGTTAACATTATTTAGTAAAGTGATTTCCACTTTGATAAAAAAATATATAACAAACATGATTAATGTAACCATTTTAAAGAAAAAAGGATGTTTTGTTATAGCTTTTAGAGCAAGCACCCATCTTGCAGTACCACCGCATGTGACGTCACAGGGTTGGTTCGCTCTGATGGCCAGTGAAGTAATAGAAGCATTTCTTTACATTTTGAACACACAAATGTTATTTTAACACAAATAATATGGTTTTCACCATAATTTGGATGAATATTCAACATCAAACTGTCTATATGCTAAGTTTTGATCGTGGTATCCCAAACATTGTTTTCATAATGCCAGGCGCAAGGTGATGTAACCAGACAACGCTTCATCATTCATGTCGCATTTGATTGTTGTCAGACCATTAAGACATATGCATTACATTGACTGGTTCACCAGTTGTATGCATCATATTTTAAGTTCACCTGCGAATACAATTAGCTTTCCAGCTGTTAACAGGACGTAGTGTTTAACTAATCACCTAATGTTATCTGAACAATCGGACCAGTGCTGCTTCCTTAAAGTTTATCATTCTCACGTGTTTTAAGCCTTGTCAGTTTAAATATTAAAGTTCGTGGTATCCCAAACATTGTTTTCATAATGCCAGGCGCAAGGTGATGTAACCAGACAACGCTTCATCATTCATGTCGCATTTGATTGTTGTCAGACCATTAAGACATATGCATTACATTGACTGTTCACCAGTTGTATGCATCATATTTTAAGTTCACCTGCGAATACAATTAGCTTTCCAGCTGTTAACAGTACGTAGTGTTTAACTAATCACCTAATGTTATCTGAACAATCGGACCAGTGCTGCTTCCTTAAAGTTTATCATTCTCACGTGTTTTAAGCCTTGTCAGTTTAAATATTAAAGTATTTAAGCCATTTAAGCGCGAGACAGCACGGAATAGATTTCAGTGCGGTATTTACACGCTGTGATAGACCTTTTCTGAAAGAGATTTAAATGCAGTACTCAGGCTTGTGATAGATAATTTCTGTTCGCGCCGGCGGCGCTGCACACACACACACACAAAGCCACAGCTCGGCTAGCATGCAAGTAGGCTACCAAATTGAGTTTTCTGTCGCGCCTTCATCAGCAAATGCACACAAAGCACGTCGGAATGACAGTCTTGAGGAGTATCCACGTAAACGAGTTTTGTTTCCGATCCGCACCTTACCGCTGCGGTTTCTTCAGCCCCTAATACTGCTCGGTCCCATCGCCGTATCAGCTCAAATGCATAGGCAATTGCACTTATTATGGACTTAACAGTGCATTCAATGTAATCTTTTTCCATTTCAAAACAAGCGTGTGTTCAAAATGCTTCTATTACTTCACTGGCCATCGGAGCGAACCAACCCCGTGACGTCACACGCGGTGGTACTGCAAGATGGCGACACCCTTGCTTTAAAAGCTATAACAACACAATTTTTTCTTTAAAATGGTCACATTAACCATGTTTGTTTAGGGCTGGACAATAATTCAATATCAATATGTATCGCGATATAATTTTTTTCAGTAACTGAAATTATTTTTTAACACATTTCCGATATACATTTCCAGTGTTTCCCATACATTGATTTATTTGTGACGTTTGACTTCATTGAAAAAACATGAGCACTGCACATTTCAAAATCAAAACACGTTGCGGGTGTTTTATATGAATGTATCTCTGAAAGGAACCGACTGTCTTCAGAATAGTTTAGATGGCAGTATAATATAGAAATTATTACTTTCATTTAGCAAGGATGTTTTAAATTGATCAAAATTGATGAAAAAAACATTTATAATGTTACAAAAGATTTCTATTTCAGATAAATGCTGTTCTTCTGAACTTTCTATTCATCAAAGAAACCTGAAAAAAAACTACTCGGCTGTTTTCAACATCATGATAATAAATGATTTTTGAGCAGCAAATCAGAATATTAGAATGATTTCTGAAGGATCATGTGACTGGAGTAATGATGCTAAAGCTCTGCTTTGAAATCACAGGAATAAATTATATTTTCAAATAGAAAACTGCTCTTTTAAATAGTAAAAATATTTCAAAATGTTACCGTTTTGCTGTATTTTGGATCAAATAAATGCAGGCTTGGTGAGCAGAAGAGAATTCTTTAAAAAACATAAATTTTGACTGGTATGTTAGCCTATAGTTTGAAGTAAAAAATATTAATATTATTCAGTAGAGTCTGAGATTTATTTGACAGTGATTTCACATTTCTTGTTTGTATGAAGGCTAAATACCAATAAAAGGTGAACATTTATTTATTGGTGCCATTTTTTTCCTAAAATATTATATAGTTTGATAGGAGTAGGTTTCATAGAGTTGGCAAATAAATTTTTCATAAGTTTGTAGGTACAGACATCTGTTGTGGCCGTTCTTGGCCGTTTTTATGAGGCTTTTTTAATAGTGTTCATATCGATATCGGAATTATATCGTATCGACCGAAATTACGAAATATATCGTGATATAAATTTTGGCCACATCGTCCAGCCCTATGTTTGTTATATATTTTTTAATCAAAGTGCAAATCACTTTACTAAATAATGTCAACTTGACTGACTGATTCATTTCCACTTTAAAGCCTCTAGTTTTCATATTTGGTGACTGATTTTTTAAATATTGTACAGAGCAACTGTAATTTATTAATTTGTAAGAAGAGTACTCATCAGAGTCAGAGAGCGAGTTCTGACCTTCACTTTGAAAAAGTGATAAATATATAAAATCAGTAAAAATCTCCATTCATGTTCATGTCAAGTGTTCAAAAGATAACATTCATTCTATTTTTTGAGAAAAAAAGGTCTAAAAGTGTTTCGAATATAAAGAATAAAACAATAGGTTCTCAATTTTTGATGCCGCGTGAACGATAACATACGTCCAGGGTTCTTGTCGCATTTCTTTTGTGTTTTTTAGAGGTTGAATTGAAATCAAATACCGCTATACTACCCTTAATACTTCTGAATGTGATGTCTACGTCATAAACATTGAGAAAAGTATGAAAAAACATGTTTCAGATCACTCAAACCATATATGGAAATGGAGGCGCCCTTATATGGTTACTAATGGCGCTTTTCCACTGCGTGGTATGACTCGGCTCGGTACGGCTCAGTACGGCACGGCATGGTTCGGCTCGGCTTGCATTTCCACTGCAGTTCAGTACCACTTCAGAGTGGGCGGGATTATTCACATGTCGTTATAGTTGCTCCGCCTCTACTACCACGACTCCTAAAAAAACGTTTTCATTCCACATCGCCCCATCAAGCTCTCGCTGGATCCACTCCTCTGCTATCAACGAGAGGAACGTCTGTACTTCCGCAACAGACAACAACACTTTTTGGTTGTTAAAAAATAAGGTGCACTCGTTCAAAATAGTTGCGTTCGATCCTTCGCTGGCTGTGCTGATTTAAATCTAGCGGTTCTTTTGTGTTTGTGTCACAAGTTCAGTGACGCAGTTTGTGACGATTCTCTCTGCCCAATCCGTGATCAGCAGAGTTTACACGTCACGTTTTGGTAACGGTACGGTTCACCTGGAACTCCAACCGAAGTGGTACTAAAAAAAGTACCAGGTACTGTACCCAGTGGAAAACCCCCCAAAAGTGAACCGTAACGAGCAGTACCATGCAGTGGAAAAGCGCCATAATAGGGTTTGATGGTCATTTAGTGGAAAAGCTTGGTACTACGCCCAAACAAAATTTCACTGAAAGTTAATTTTTTGAGATATCAACCTCAAATTTGGAACACAACTTCTTCAGCTTTTTGGTTTTCTAGCAGTTTTAGAGTGAAACATGTTTTGTAAAATATATATTTTACATCAAATATAAATATTACAATTTTTACATTTTATATTTTCATAAACTTAAAACTTCCATAACTTTTTTGAATATAATTGATAACTTTTTTCACCTCTACAATAATCTGCCAAGTGTCTTCTTTAAAAAGAGACAACCTTAAGTCTCTGCTTCAAAGCATTCAAAATGTATAACAATTTAAGTTGGAAATGTCATTAAGGCCTATACTCAAAAAGCGGAACCGACAGTTAACAGGTTAAGTGTACTTTAAGTAATAACTGGAAAGCAAAGTTACATTGATATAAAATAAGTGGCATTCATTTTTTTGTTTGTTTGTTCACATTGATGTTAAAATTACATTTTCTGATTTGTGACAATACTTTTTATGCAATACTAAAACACTGCTGGTCACTTTCAGAAGTTGTAGTGATGCTTTCTTTTCTAAGAAAGAATGTGAAACATACTGGTTATATACCTTTCATTTTTAAATATTTTAAAATATAATTTTAATTGATTTTACACACTTAAGTTAATAACACATCACATATAGAAGATTGCATTATTTAACAAGGTATCGCATATCGCATTTTTCTTCAGTACCGCACAGCCCTAGTTCTTGCACACACCGAACAAGCAGTTATGAAACATGGAGGCTCTTCATGTCACGTCTTTTGCATGCTCAAGTTCGTTATTTTAAATGTAGACGTGTGACAAGCACACTCAAAGAGAGATCGAAAGCTCAGCCAAGATGGACAAACAGCTGATCATAGCTGTACATAAACATATCTAGTAGTATAGTTAATGCAAGGGATGGAAATCCATTTATCCTTGGCTGAATCTTCTTCATCAATAACGCGGCTCATGATTGATTAGCAACGGCATATCACTGGAGCGCGAGCTCCCAAGCTCTTTTGAATAGAGAAGTGGCACGGCTGGCGTTTTCCATGAGTTTTTAGACATGACATGTGAACGGCCTCTAAATCGATTGCGGATGGTTTCATCATCTCGGGCGGATAAAAAAAAAAAAAAAAGTATAAGAGTATAAAATAATGAAAAGCAAAAATGTGTTACCAAATATAATTGGGGGGCACACCCAGGTGAAGTCTATGTGTGGGAAGCACTGATTTCATTTACACATTCTTGTTTTTACCTTGTGTTGTCTCAGTGGGCAGCGTGGAGAGATGAGAGTGCTCTTTTTACACCAGGTCCCCCAGTAAGCTGGACGATAGTTGTCATGGAATTGCAGGAGTTTCATGCGGCCATAACGGTGGCGGTCTGGGACGCCATCTGCCTTTTGACTGTCAGTTATGACCACACAATCTCTAATAACAGAAAACAGACAAAACAAACAAAGAATAAGCTTTTCACATCACTCTCATATAAACAGCAGCTAGTGTTCCACATATTTATAAGGTCATGAGTATCTCAGCAACAGGTTTAATATGGCTTTACCTTACAGCACTGTGACTGGGCTGGGTTGGACCTGAACGGCGAGGTTTATGCCTTGTCCAGTCCTTCAGTCCATTTAGAGTGCTGTCAGGTTGGGCAAGATAATGGTCCAGCTCCTCTAGAACGGAGTCTTCACATTGTACTCGAGTCAGTGGTGCCAGAGACATGTTAGCTTTAATCTCAAAAGGAGCAAATTTCCCACAGGCAGACGCCAGAGTCTGAAACACAACAAAACACAAAAAAAAAGTTAGAAAAAGAAAACACAGCGTAAACAAAGCATGACAGCCATTACATTGGGAAAGATTTCTAGCTTTTAGATTATCTTATTCATTTGAGAATGAGTCCTTGTTGGACAAACAGATATCTTATGTAACATTTGTAAATGTTTCACACAAGTAGTTTGACAAGTCTTTATTCCAGTGAATAATGTGACTCTTACCTTTGGTGCCAACTGGGTCTTGGGCTTCTGTAGAAAGCGTGTAATCTCAGCCTTCTCAGCTTTGATTCGCTAAACAGATGGACAAACTCAATGAGGACCTGAACAGTTCGCAAAACAATAACATCCAAATTTGAAGATCTCAGGAATAAAGATTGATAAAACCACTCACATCTTTCTCTTCCTTCAATCGTTTTTCCTCCGCTTTCTTTCTTTTCTCTTCCAGTTTGGCCCTAAATAGCATTTACAACAGATTTTAATACTAGCATCCTTCATAAAACTAAGAAAAAAATCAGTACAACTATTATTGTGATACTTTACTGAGACACTCACTCAATTTTAATTTGCCGCTGCTCTTCTTTAGCTCTTAGTTTCTCTGCCTTTTCCTTCTCCTCCCTCTCCTTTTTTTCTCGTCGCTCCTTTTCATCCGTCTCCTTCTTTTCTTTTTTCTCCCTCTCCTTCTCTTCCTTTAGCTTGCGGGCCTCCTCTTTCTTCATTTCCTTGGCAGCTTTGGCCTCTTCTTTCTGGCGTTCTTTCTCTTCCTTTTGTCGTTGCTTCTCCTCCTGCTCTTGGACACTCTGAGGTACAATAAGACAATAAAGAGCTATTCAAATGGAGTGCAGAATTCCACAGTGACTAGACTTTAAAAGTAAACAATCATTTCTTCTTTAACCCTTAAAGTGCAAACATCCACATTGTGATCAAACTGGTTTGGGACTTCTGGAGGAGAAATAACCCACACTAGCTACTAGGGCTGTGTATCACCAGCAATGCCACGATACAAATCACGATACAGAGGCCACGATACGATACGTATCACGATACAGGACTGCACTGAATTTCACCTCAGCAGAATTTAGTAAAACAGCTGTTTATTAAACATTGCACACTATAGTGCCATTTCTAACTATTGGCAGAGCAGGCAGCTGACCTCTGCATTATGAAGGGCCTCCATAACTAAACCACAGTACAATATAGGTAATGGCATATGTTTCATGTTTACATTGGCCAGGTACAATATTCTGATTGTTTGCATCTTGTTTTTAAGCCCATAAATAATAATGTACTCGTTCTAATAAATGTATATTGTAATGTATTTATTCTAATATTAAAAAACCCTATTTACATTGCCGGAAGGGTATCATTGCACAAATTAACAAACTTTACGTTAAAAAAATTAAAATTAAAAGAGTTCTAAACTAATGCGCTGTCTTCACTGTGAGTCACTCACACAGATCACGTTGCGGCCACACTCAAGACATTCAGGAACAAACTTTTTTTTGCGCTGCCCTGCAGGTTTATCAACTAAATAGCTTAATCGCTCAAGAGCTACATTATCTTTCTCAACAAGGAGCTGGTAACATCGTTTCTACAGAAATTAAAGCCACAGATTCACTGTTAATAGAGAAACGGTGGTAATTCATACATACACAGCTTCTCTCTCTCTCTCATAAATGAACACTTGATGAATTAGTTTTCTGAGAATAGACTTGAAGTGGAGATCGCTAAACTGCAAGCTTACCAGTGTTTTCAGAAAGCAAGCGCGTTTATCCACAGTGGAGAGAGAGCGCGTGCATATGGTTGCCAGGTTGACAAAGATAAGTAGCACACTTAGCAGATATTTCCATATTGCGCAAGTGTAAAGCTCTGTTTCGGGGATTAAGTCTCTTCATATCAGGCAACCCCGGTTGTGTTCCTCTGCAGCCAGATTAAACCTTATTGTAGCCTATATATTACACGCTATTCATTATTTTTTAGAAACCTCGCACTTTTCTACTCAATTTTAAACGTTGTTCTTGTATTTAAATTAAGCGCGGTCCACTGCTGCACACGTGCCTCAATATCGATACAGGGCCAGCTGTATCGATTCTCATATCGTCAAATCTCTGTGACGATACATCGTCGTATCGATGTATCAAACACAGCACTACTAGCTACTAAGATTTCAGTTTTGGGCTCATGAACCCAAACCTGAATCACATATGCTCAGATTAACATTACACTAAAAATGCTGGGTTCTAAATGTGATAAAAAAAAACATGTGATTTTACCTTAAGGGATCGTCTCTTCATTTTACTAGCTGCGTTTATCCGTGACGTCTGCAGAAAGGAAATAGACTGATCAACAGGTTTAACTTAAGCAAAAAAAAAAAGATCAATTGATTCATGTCTACTCACAGAGGCAGGGGTGGAGGGAGCGCTCCTGCTGGGCTCTGGTGAGCTCTCTACCACTGAGAGAGAGCTGGTAGACTCGGTCGACAGCACAGACTCATTCCCGTGACTGACTTCAGTCTCCTGCTGCTCTTCTTCCTCAGTGTCAGACTCTTGAGCAATGTCCAGCAGTGGGAGGGCATCTTCGTCCTTCTCAGTATCTTTTTTTGTCAGTGGGGTGGTTGGTTCTGTAGATTTTGTGGCATGTTCTGCATTCTTCGTTGTTTCTTCGCTAAGGGGGCAGGTGGCAGCACAAGATTTTGTGGCATGTTCTGCATCCTTCGTTGTTTCTTCGCTAAGGGGGCAGGTGGCAGCAACTGGAGGTGCAGGCTGCTGTTTGACAGCATCATTTGAGTCTTCAGTAAGGTCTATTGTTTCAGGGCCAGAGCAGACCGGGGAATGCTTCCGCCTGCTCATGAAGCAATCAAGTGGTCCACGACCATTTACCAGAGCTGGGCCATGGTGCAGCGGGGTGGAGGAACTGTCCCCATCATTTTCTCCATCCAACGCACTGGGTTCAGAATACTTGGGGACAACAGGACCTTTGGTTCTTTTGGGCTCACTGCATTCCTTGGTTTCTGGGTTAAGCCTTTTGAAAGGTAGACGTGCTGTAAGGAGGCAATTCTGTTAAGTTATTCTGAAAAGATTATAAAACACTAGGCCTCATACATTTGCTGGTCATTATACACTGAACATCTGAGGATCTGTGTATCAAGCATGTCTTGCAGTTTAGCAATAGTAGACTGCAATCATGCTGACTGATTTGAACTTTAAGTCGAGGCTTTTAGATAAGAACAAAAGCACACTGCTGTGAAGGAACGAAAGGGGTGTGAAATGGAATGCAGCACAGTAATTGTTTTACCTCAATTATAATAATTGCTGGAAGTCAAAATCAAAATCAAATTTGATCAATCACACATCCCTACTGGATGGAATCTCAAAAGTGCATCCTAATTTTCATACTTGTGCACTATCCTATGCCATTTGTTTAGTATAGTGCAATTAATGGGTTCACACCAAAAATAAAAGTGTATTTTAAATACCTAAATAAAGTACCTATTTAGCTATAGGTACAAATGTAAGAAACATTATACACTCAGTGGCCACAGGTTCAATTACACAAGTGAAGGAGAAGAGCGATTATAGACTTGATGGCTGACAAAATAACCTCAAAGAAAATAAAGAAACTCTAGACTGGAGTGTACACGCATCATTTGGGATGCAACTTCAGTCTGCAACTAAACAAAAAACAAACCATTTATTTTCTGTGAAATCTTACAACTCTGACTGCCAAAAACTGCAGACTGGCTCTGACTTTAGTCAACTCCTCCAGACTGGGGCTAAAATCTGTTCAAAAGTCATGTACTGTATTCCAGCCTTTAGCAACAACCAGAAACAAAAGAATGGACTTATATTCAGAAAAAAATATTTATGTTTTTGAATAAACAAATATGACTAAGACAATTTGTTAAATACTATTAATTAGATTGGGCTTTAAGACTTACTTTTTTTTCATAATTTACTCTATTTTACATTATGGATAAACTGGAAAAATGTACTCTATCTTTTTAATCACCATCATCCAACAGTAAAGTAATATCACAATGAGAAAAGAAAACACTTCATAAAAAAATGTAAGGTAAAAACCCAGTTGCATATTCATTTTAACAGGAATTGAGCCCAAAGACAGTAACACTATAAGAATAACTTTATAAAACATATTTGGAAATTGTTTCATGTTTTTATCCTTATAATAAGCAGTAATGGTAATTTCATTGACGGCTCACTAAAAGGTTTGCATGACCTGATATATCATAAGTGAGTCAATATAGTTTGAGACATACTCCATTAAGCACTTACGTGGACAATTTCCCAATCCACCTACAAACATATCCCATCCTAATGATGTTCAGGATTTTTAATAAAATAAGCTCCCAAGATTCCCCCCCAAAAAATTTATGATTTAATAAACTGGGTCCTCGAGGTATGACTAAACATATGACTATCATATTTTTTTGAGTGGGGATGGTTTTCCATTTCTGACTAGAAATATTAACACTTAAGTTGTTTACCTTGAACAAGCTTCTTGCTGGTATTAGCTTTGCCCACACAATCCATGCCTGAAATATATAAAGAGTATGTTAAGGTCCAATCCTTCATCAGAAATACATATGCAAGCTATAAAAAAAATCAAATGGCATCAATCTGACATGCTCTCTGACATTAAGATCAATACTTGACGCAAAACAGCACTCCTTGTCAAACCACGCCTCGCCATAACAAAGGTAACTGTTAACTGCTAAGTTACCTTTGCATGCTAGTTAACTATTTAGTTGACTGTCACATCGAACCCAAAGATTTCATTTTCGAGGATAAATAGTAACTTTAACATTTCTAAATGTCAAAAAGCCCGCACATAAAACGCAGAAGCGCTTACAAACTTCCAAAGAAATAATGGAGGCCAACTACACGTATAATGTTTAGTTTGGATCTCCCGCCTTTCAGTGAAAGATGGTTTGTAAGTTAGGCCTGTAGCGACTGAGTTTGGCTAACGTTACTGAACCAGTGACTACAGACTTTTTAAAATATAGTTAACATGCACATCAATTGCAAGAATATGACTAATACTGATGCCTATAAGGTAAGGCTATTAAATAGCAGTCCCAAATTAGTTTTGCGAATACAATTATAAAATAATGACACTGACATTAAGCCTGACAACATCTCATCTGACTGCAGATTCTGAATCAGTTCAGCACATTTTTCTCAGGCACTCCTTACTTAAAGGGTTAGTTCACCCAAAAATGAAAATGTGATGTTTATCTGCTTACCCCCAGGGCATCCAAGATGTAGGTGACTTTGTTTCTTCAGTAGAACACAAACAGAGATTTTGAACTCCAGCCGTTGGATTCTATCAGTCGTATAATGCATGGCAATGGTAACAAAATATATGAGAGTAAAAAAACATGCACAGACAAATCCAAATTAAACCCTGCGGCTCGTGACGACACATTGATGTCCTAAGACAGAAGAGCGATTATAGACTTGATGGCTGACAAAATAACCTCAAAGAAAATAAAGAAACTCTAGACTGGAGTGTACACGCATCATTTGGGATGCAACTTCAGTCTGCAACTAAACAAAAAACAAACCATTTATTTTCTGTGAAATCTTACAACTCTGACTGCCAAAAACTGCAGACTGGCTCTGACTTTAGTCAACTCCTCCAGACTGGGGCTAAAATCTGTTCAAAAGTCATGTACTGTATTCCAGCCTTTAGCAACAACCAGAAACAAAAGAATGGACTTATATTCAGAAAAAAATATTTATGTTTTTGAATAAACAAATATGACTAAGACAATTTGTTAAATACTATTAATTAGATTGGGCTTTAAGACTTACTTTTTTTTCATAATTTACTCTATTTTACATTATGGATAAACTGGAAAAATGTACTCTATCTTTTTAATCACCATCATCCAACAGTAAAGTAATATCACAATGAGAAAAGAAAACACTTCATAAAAAAATGTAAGGTAAAAACCCAGTTGCATATTCATTTTAACAGGAATTGAGCCCAAAGACAGTAACACTATAAGAATAACTTTATAAAACATATTTGGAAATTGTTTCATGTTTTTATCCTTATAATAAGCAGTAATGGTAATTTCATTGACGGCTCACTAAAAGGTTTGCATGACCTGATATATCATAAGTGAGTCAATATAGTTTGAGACATACTCCATTAAGCACTTACGTGGACAATTTCCCAATCCACCTACAAACATATCCCATCCTAATGATGTTCAGGATTTTTAATAAAATAAGCTCCCAAGATTCCCCCCCAAAAAATTTATGATTTAATAAACTGGGTCCTCGAGGTATGACTAAACATATGACTATCATATTTTTTTGAGTGGGGATGGTTTTCCATTTCTGACTAGAAATATTAACACTTAAGTTGTTTACCTTGAACAAGCTTCTTGCTGGTATTAGCTTTGCCCACACAATCCATGCCTGAAATATATAAAGAGTATGTTAAGGTCCAATCCTTCATCAGAAATACATATGCAAGCTATAAAAAAAATCAAATGGCATCAATCTGACATGCTCTCTGACATTAAGATCAATACTTGACGCAAAACAGCACTCCTTGTCAAACCACGCCTCGCCATAACAAAGGTAACTGTTAACTGCTAAGTTACCTTTGCATGCTAGTTAACTATTTAGTTGACTGTCACATCGAACCCAAAGATTTCATTTTCGAGGATAAATAGTAACTTTAACATTTCTAAATGTCAAAAAGCCCGCACATAAAACGCAGAAGCGCTTACAAACTTCCAAAGAAATAATGGAGGCCAACTACACGTATAATGTTTAGTTTGGATCTCCCGCCTTTCAGTGAAAGATGGTTTGTAAGTTAGGCCTGTAGCGACTGAGTTTGGGGCTAACGTTAGAACCAGTGACTACAGAGACATTAAGTTCGTCCATTACAGTAACCCAAGACAGAGGAACAAAGTAGTAGATTGAGCTCAGAACAACATAAACGGGGCTTATTTTGATAAACCCGCTTGAATACAGAAAAAACAACAACCATTACACGTAATGAAAATCACATTTAGTGTGAGTAGAAAACAAGATTGTCAATAACAAATCTGAGCTAAACTGCTAACGTGCTAATTAAGAGCCAAAACCCTCGACAACCCCAAATGTTACTTTGAAAAGGCATTGAAATGACATTTTTATCGTCTCTCAGAGCAAATGAACCAAAGTAAAACCGTTTCATTACGTTAGTAATGTCCGGTCAAATGTGGAGTTTTTCCACGTTATTAGTCACCTATATGCGCTCTCTTACCATTATTATTCCCTATATATAGACTTTAATCACGCATTAAACCAGTTGTATTTCACATTAAACATCAGACCTCTTCGTGGTGTGGAGGCCAGAGGCTCTTCGGCCGCGAGCATCACGACCACCATCCCCGCGCCCTTCAACTCCTCGCGCTGGAAACGTTAAACGGAAACGGGCAGCGCTTTTTGGACTCCGTACAAAGCTCCTTATAAGGCTAGTCATCGACTGCACGTCTTTTCCATGTATAACATTAACGTGTCGACTGCGAATTTGATGGGTTTCTGTTACTTTTAGAGCGGTTGGTTCTGTTTTTTTCCCCTGTGTAATCCCGGTCCAGCCGTTTCAGACCAGTCTCATCCCCGGCGGCCAGACTCCCCTCGCGCTCCCCGCTCAGAATTGGCGGGAGCCTGTTGCGGGACTGGATCGGAGTGTGCGATTGGCCAGAGGCGCGCCACGTCACATCAACGAAGAGTCACGTTATTGGCTGTCACGCTTGATTCTGCCTCGCAACACGGAGCGGTCAAAACCTGTGATTGGACAGTGAGTGTGATTCTCGAGTAGGATTGGTCAAATAAAAATAATAAATTACAAAGTTATTCCGTGTAACTACTTTGCCTTGGTAATTCGGTGTAGAGGGTTTCTGATGAGTGAAAATTGAACATTTTTATGAATTGAATTTTATGAATTTTTCCTAAATAAAACTGAAATAATTCCGTGATTCTGAGGTGGGTTTTGAGAGGCTTGACACATTCAGGATTTATATTTTAACAGCAAACGTTAGTAATTCCGCATAAGACCGTGAATGATCCTTAATTCCAAAGCATGAAAATATTCACAAGCTTCTGCCAAAAATAACATAAAGGGGTCATATTCATACATTGCCACAAGGCAGGGGAAACTAACCACACCTTTGATAATCTCGGAATGTGGCTTGTAGTCTTTAAGTCACAACTTCCGTCCGCTACGTGCAAAACAGGCCTCATTAGAACTACAATTCCCATAATGCACCAGAACGCTAGTCCGCCACGGGATTGCCAGAATTTAAAGCGGGCCGCAGACACTTCCCCATCAAACTATTTAGCGGTGCACAGGTATCGTATGATTAAGAATATGAGCCTGAGGTTTTATTGTATTATTAAAGCAGTCGTTTTTCTCTTAAGCACATGCATTAATATTTATAATTTGCGTAGACGTTGTATAGTTTGACCACTGCTTTTTTACTGCAGTTTTGTTTGACATGGTTAGCCGTATTATGTTTTCAAATATCATTAATACAGTGAAATATCGTTAATATGGAACTGTTATAAACAATATGAACACATATTAAATACAAAATATGCATTTATGTTATTTAGAGACAACTGTTATGATCTAATATTGCTTGCAGTGTTCAACAGTTATGTATCATATTAATGTGATCACAATTTAAAGGCAAAAGCCTGATAATTTTTTTAAATCTAATTTTAAGAATGCTTGCCTGTTTTTATGATATTTGTATTTCTTTTAGCATTGAAAACTTCAATTCATCAGTTCAGAGAGAGAAAAGTTCACTACCACCAGAAACATAAACATTAAACACTTTCTCAAAATCGAGAATGACAGGTAAATCAGGTTTGGTTGGCATATAAAATGTATGAATCTCACTGTTTTCAGTTGCTTTTTTCAATGGACAATTGTTTCTTGTTATTGCTGTGGTTAAAAATGATTTATTTCCATTTTTGCCCGACAGATCGAGCAAACAACTTCCCCCCTCTGCCAAAGTTTATGCGCATAAAGCCATGTTTTTACCAGAACGTGGCTGAGGAAATTCCACAACCCTACCAGCAACTTGTGCGTCGTGTTTACAATCTTTGGATGTGTGAGTAAAGAAATGTCAACTCTACTGGGAATAGTTTGGTTTCAGATTTACCAAAGCTGAAATTCCTAACTTTGACTGAAGCATCTAATGACTGACATTTCTATTTTTCAGTGTACTGTATCACACTATGTGTTAATGTGGTGGCCTGCATAGCCTGGTGGGCCGGCGGGGGCAATGTGGAAAACTTTGGGTTTGCGCTCCTCTGGCTGCTGGTTTTCAGCCCATGTAGCTACACCTGCTGGTTCAGGTCACTCTATAAAGCCTTCCGGTAAGGAACCCATTTTGGGAAAGGACAAATAGAGCTGAGGCTTTCATTTTTCACTTTAACCCGTTTTGTCTTTTTTAGGGCTGATAGTTCCTTCAACTTCATGGCATTCTTCTTCATTTTCTTTCTGCAATGTGTTCTTGCCTTCATCCAGAGTCTTGGAATATCAGGTTGGGGTGCTTGGTGAGTAACATTTAAATGTTAGGATATTCAATATTTAATATGAGCATTGGTGGAGGGACATCTGATTGATCTGATTGGCTTCCCCAGGTGCCACCCAAAATTTTCATTTGCTACTGGCGGTTTGGTGATTGACATTTCATTTCACCTCTTGAAAAATAAGTATTTATTTTGCCATGCAGTGTGGCACGCTGTTAATTTACGTTAACATTGAATGTTAAGAGAATATTAACGTTGTTTGCAAGAACAAGTTTAAAGGGGGTCAGACGCTGTACAGGGATAATATGGAAAACATACTATGGAAGTCAATGGCTACCAGCAACGGTTTGGTTACCAGCATTCTTCAAAATATCTTCTTTGTGCTCAACAGAAAAAAGAAACTCATACAGGTTTGGAACAAGATATTATAGATTAGATTGCCTTTATTCTTTCCGTTTGCTCCGTTTTTACAGCAAAACTCATCCTTTTGGTCTGTATGGTGACTAGATTTTGGTCTGTCGCCTTGAATTTGAGAATACCACATAGTGCTTCTCGCCTGGTGTTCCTAGCCTATTTGAACTAAGTGGGTTTTCATCAGGTTAGGTTTCCTGAACAGCTTTTTTGTGTAAGTTAACTTTAGACCAGTGATTGTCAACTGGTTTGGCCATGGGACCCACATTTTCTCAGTCATCAAGCCGTGACCCACTTTTTTTAATATATATTTATACTTATATATTTATATATATATATATATATATATATATAAATATATATATATAAATATACTATTATATACTTTTTAAAATATAGTTAACATGCACATCAATTGCAAGAATATGACTAATACTGATGCCTATAAGGTAAGGCTATTAAATAGCAGTCCCAAATTAGTTTTGCGAATACAATTATAAAATAATGACACTGACATTAAGCCTGACAACATCTCATCTGACTGCAGATTCTGAATCAGTTCAGCACATTTTTCTCAGGCACTCCTTACTTAAAGGGTTAGTTCACCCAAAAATGAAAATTTGATGTTTATCTGCTTACCCCCAGGGCATCCAAGATGTAGGTGACTTTGTTTCTTCAGTAGAACACAAACAGAGATTTTGAACTCCAGCCGTTGGATTCTATCAGTCGTATAATGCATGGCAATGGTAACAAAATATATGAGAGTAAAAAAACATGCACAGACAAATCCAAATTAAACCCTGCGGCTCGTGACGACACATTGATGTCCTAAGACA